AGCACGTCCATGTGGACTCGAGACCAGGGGCCGTGACAGTCCGGACCCCAAATGATGCCAGCACTGAGGCGAGAAAAGACGACCATCGAATAACAGCTGAGCATATCTCAGGCAAAACGGCTGCTGGACCGGGCGGTCTAGGGCTCCCCGTCCTTTTGTTGTCAGTAGTGGTTCTTCCTTGCAATGTGTACATTCGCGTTTGGCCATCCTGGAGGCAACGTGCTTCCAGCGCTCCAGTGCCACCGCCGTGCTCTCATACGGCCGTCTTCCGGGACGATTGTCGGTGTCCTGTCTGTTTGGTTGTATGTTTTTTGTGGTCCTTGTGATCATTACTCAATTCGGGAATGTAGCTGGCATTGAGGCGAACGGTTCCTGGATTATTGTGAGGACGTCTCAGGCGAAACCACCGCCAGGCTGGGCCGGACCGTGCGGTCTAGGGTTCCCCGCTTCCCTTGTTGAAGTCTTTTGTGGTTTTTTGTTTTGCCACTATATTGCCTCAGATGTAGCCCGCATTGATTGGAACGAGGGCGCGACTTCTGGATAGATTGCGAGGAAGCCTCAGTGGAAACCGCCGCTGGTCGTTCTCGACCGGGCGGTCTAGGGCTTCCCGTCCCCACCTGTGGGACTCTTCTCTTGCCTTCGCCCGAACGTGTGCGCTTGTCTCGGCGAGGACCATGGGGGAGCATCTTGGCTCATCTGCGAAAAGATACACGCACCAAACCGAAGACACGCACGGGGAATGGACCTCTGCGCGATGGCACGTTCTGTGGTCCTTTGAAATACGGCTCGGGATGCGAGACCGTCCCCAGGGAAAGGGTCGAGGCACCATGGGGGGGCCCACATTGTGGGAGAGCCACGACGTATCGGGGAACTTGTGCCGCACGTCGTCTGGGGCACGGGGTCCGCCCTGGGAGCCAGGGTCCAGTTCGGTCCGACGTCAGGAGCGGACATGAGTTCACGTTGGTTTCGAGAGTACTCATTGCGCGCGGCTGGTCTCGAGGATTGGGGGATCGTGTTCATGTACGTGGGTGGGCGCGTACGTCCTTCGCGGGCACCCTACGATGGAGCCGATTCGACGCTGATGCTGGCCGGCTCCTGCCGATTCGATTTCGATGTTCCGTCCATCCGACGCGGCCCGACGCTTGCATGGCGCTGTTGTGCAACCTTGCCTAGCCGATCCATGCCGACTTCGACTCTGCGCCGACGCAGCCCGTTCGACGCACAGCTCGATGCGGTCCGGCTTCTCGGTCCGATGCTGACCGCCCTCACTTCCGGCATCACCCCAAAATACTTATTTCGTCGGCACCCCCAAAGGGGCGCGCTCGCGCTGAGAACTCTTATAGTACATGCTCGGTGGCGGGTGCTTTATGGCCATATGGCCTGGGTAATGAGATACTCCAAGATGCTCGTGCCACATGCTCGGTTCAGACGTGTGCCTCCAAGAGGGGCGCATAGTGTTTGTATGTCCGTGGTCCCATGCATCTGAGGGTGCTCTCGTGTTCACTGGGGCCGCGCGGAACTCACCTCCTGCTCGGTCGCTGTGCGGAGTTGGCTTGGCGGGCCTTGGAAGATCGCACTGATCGCTGCCAGTCCTCAAGTCTTGAGCCTTCGCCCAAAGACAGAATCAGGCAACAACGATGATGGCAACAACGATGGTGACAACAGCGATAACGGCAAAGACGATGACGATGACAACGACGATGATGATGATGATGATGATGATGATGATGATGATGATGATGATGATGATGATGATGAGGAGGAGGAGGAGGAGGAGGAGGAGGAGGATGATGATGATGATGATGATGGCAACAACGATGAAGACAACGATGATGACAATGATGATGACGATGACGACGACGATGACGATGGTGATGGTGATGATGATGGAGATTACGATGACAATGCCGATGATATTGACGATGATTATGCTGATGATGATGGTGACAGGAAAGATGACGACTACGATGATGGTGACGATGATGATGGTGATGATGGTGGCGATCATGATGATGGTGATGGTGGCGATGGTGATGGCGAACATGATGACAGCAACGATGACGATTACGATGATGGTGATGGTTATGCTGATTGTGATGATGATGATGGTTATGATGATGATGGTGGTGATTATGCTGAGGATGGTCACGACAACGACGACGATTGTGGTGATGGTAATTGTGATGGTGGTGATGATGATGATCTGGGTGATGACGATTGTCGTGTTGATGATCACAATGGGGATGACAATGACAATTACGATGACGATTACGATGATTGTGGTGGTGATGATGACTATGACGATGATAGCAATTCTGATGCTGATGATGATGACGATGTTCATGGTGACGATGATGATCATGATCTTGACTCAAGTGATGATGATGATGTCGATAATGATGACGATGATGATGATGCTGATGATGATCATGATAATGACGATCATGCTGCAACTGATGATGATGAGGATGGTGATGGTTGTGGTGATGATGATGATGCCTATGATGATGATCATGATGATGATGATGTTGTTGCAGATCATGGTTATGATGATGATGATGAGATGATGATGATGATGATAATATTGTAGATGATGGTTATGATGATGATCATGATGTAGATGATGGTGATGATGATGCTGAGCATGCTGATGATGATGATGATGATGATGATGATGATGATGATGATGATGATGATGATGATGATGATGATGATGACGACAGCATCGACGTTGACGACGATGAAGACAAGGATGGCGACAACGCTGGTGTCGATGGTCAGCCGGCCCTGGCCGCGCAGGAGCAGCGCGCCGCGGAGGAGCCGCCCGTGCCCCGCCGCGGGCGGTGCCTAAGCCGGCACCGGGCGGCGGGCGCGCCTCGCGGGGGCCGCCTGAGCGACGGCCCGCGCGGCGACCGCGCAGCGCGGCGCCTTCGCGAGCAGTGGGCCCGTAGCGCTCCGCCCGCCGGGTCTCCTCCTCCTCCTCCTCCTCCTCCTCGTCCTCCTCCTCCTCCTCCTCCTCCTCCTCCTCCCCGCGGAGCCCCCGCGCGCTGCGACGGGCAGCCCAGGCTCCGCGCCGCGCATCGATGATGATGATGTTTAGGATGTCGTTAGTGCTGATGTCGATGATGCTGGTGTTGATGATGCTGGTGCTGATGATGTTGATGATGGTGGTAATGAGGAGTAGGAGGAGGATGATAATGATATGAGGAGTAGTCGGATGCTGAGGACACGTGCGAGGAGGAGGAGGAGGAGAGAAGGGGGGAGGGGGAGGTGAGATGGAGCGCGGCGCTGCGAATTCAGGACGTGGACCCAATGTACAGAGGAGGGCTGAGCATACAAACAGGACATCGGATGTCTGGGAAAAGGTACTGATACACACTTCCCTCGTTTTGCCTTTTTGGGGTCTCCTGGGAGGCCCTCTTCGCCACGGCTGGATCGCGTTGAGTTCCTGGTCGGAGCACACCCCTGAAGAGTTCGCAGGAGTAGCGGTATCGGTAACTACTTTTTGGCTTCCCCAGTCTCGCCGTGGAGAGAGAGAGAGAGAGAGGGAGAGAGAGTTCGGTAGCAAATCATGGGAGCCTCGTATGCCCTCGCAACTCCGCCTTTAGAGTGCACTAGCGTCGATTAGAGCATGGCAGTCAATGAGAGCGCGCCGATCTAGCGCCGACTGGCGTTTCGCGTCAATTCACGTCGGTTTGCAAGAGCCAGCCAGATGGCATCCGCGCGCGTTTCGCTGGGTGTTGTCGTGGTCCCCGTGAGGGGAAGTGGATTCAATATTGCGTCGCAGCAGGGGCAGAGATTGGTGGGTGCTTGCGGCCGAAAAACAAATGCCAGCAAGATGGCCTGGGACCCGCGCCGCCCAAACATGCTAATACTATGTGCGCGTGGCCCCCCACACACAGGGGCAACGCACGCGCCGAGAAATCTTGTATTGTAAGCCCCGTGGCGGGCGCTCTCTTGCTCCGGTGCTCGGACAATAATCTACGACAACCCGGTTCTCGGACAATAATCTACGACAACATCTTTATACTATACGTGCGGGTCGGACGCACACCTCCGAGGAGGACACATCGTACCGGGATGTCCTTGCGCGCCCCATGGGAGGCACCCGTGACTTGCCGCACAAAAGACGGACACCCCGCAGGGAGCGGGCTTCCCGCGCTCTCCAGGCTTGGCATCGCTCGGACGTGTGCACTTGTTCTCGGCGAGGACCACCGAGGAACCGTTTGGATCTCGGGCGAAGAGAACTATGCACATGCACCGATCCTGGGAAGGCCCATCCTTGATCCAATATCGGTGCATATACATTCCTGGCCAAGGTTGGAGGGCGTATGAACCGACCCTGGGCTCTGGATGGGCCTGGCCAGAATCGGTGTATGTGCATAGTTCTCTTTCCTTTATGGATCACCGTGGGAAACTATAATCACGAAGCCGAAACATGCACCGGGAATGGACGTCCGGGCGATGGCGAGCAGGGGGGCCCTCCACGGCCCCCCGGGGGCCGCCAGGAGACGGGTCAGGACGAGGCGCTGGTCACGGGGGCGGGGCCGGACGAAGGGCACGCAGAATAGGGACAGGGGGGGGGGTACGAAATTTGCTGCACGCAGCTGGGTTCCGCCCCGCCGCCGGACGCATTCCTTGACACGTGGGCGCATGGGCTCGTTTCGAATCCTCCGATTCGATTCGATTCGACTCCGATGGATTCCGAATCCGATTCGATTCGATTTCGGATTCCGATTTGGGCTCCGATTTCTTATTGGACGCATACTAGCCTGCCGATTTCCGCCGATTCGACTTTTCCCGACCCGGCTGCCGATTTCTGCCGATCCGACTTATTTCGATCGCCGATCCGACTTATCGATTCGATTCTGGGCTCCTTTGTGGTCCCGGCGCCAGGAGGCGCCAGGAAAACAAGCTACGTGAGCCGATTCTCTGCCCTACTCTTCGCTATCCTACCCTTTTCGTCCGCCCCGACCCAGGGCGGATGGTCCGCGACCCGCTTGAAGGGCTCAATTCAATTCCCCCGGCTCGAATCGATTCGATGTCGATCGGGTCCGGTTCCGATGCCGAGCCGATCCGACTGCGGATTCCGATTTGGATTTCGGGTTCATACACGCCCGCCGATTTCCACCGAGTCGACTTCTCTTGACTAGGTTGCCGATTCTGGCCGATTCGATGCATTTTTGTGTCCGATCCGACTTGCCGATTCGATTCTTGGGTCCCTTGCGTGTCCCTCAAGACCCGTTGCGGTGCAGCGGGATTCGGAACGGGAGAAAGGTCTAGATCCGAATTGGACGGTCCAGATTTCAACAGGCAATACAACCGGGACGGTGCAGATGACAACCACTCGTATTCAAGTTTCGCGCTGCGTAGGCGCTTCACAGGCGTTTCCTTGGCAGCGCTTCCTCGGTTTCCAGGGCTCCTGTGAGTTCCTCCAGGGCTCCAGTGAGTTCCTCCAGGGCGTCTCCTTGTCAGGACTCCCATGAGTTCCTCCAGGGCTCCAGAGGAATTTTGAGGAATGAAGATTCTTGGGGGTTCCCAGGAAATTATTGCGGGGTTCCGTGGGGTTTCATGAGGGATGCCTGAGGATTCCCGCTGGATCCCTGAGAATTCTTGAAGGATCCCGAAGGGATTCCTGAGGAAGGTTTCCTGCGGATTCTCTTTTGGATTCCAAAGAGATTCCGGTGGAATCCTGATGAATTTCTCCGGGGGTCGTGACGGCTTCCTGTTGGAATCGTTTGGAATCTTGGCGATACCTGAGGGATTTCTGCAGATTCCTGTTCGATTCCTGTGCGATTTCTGTTGGTTCCTGCTGGATTCGTGAGGGTTCCTTTGGGGGTCTCCAGGAGCTCCTAAAGGTTTACTCGGGATGCCGGATTGATTCTTGAGGATTCCCGAAAGTTTCGTCAGCGATTCCCGAAGGGTTTCCTGAGGATTCCTCTACGGCTTCTTGGTGGATTACTGAACGATTCCCTAGGATTCCTCCGGATCCCTGAAGATTTCGGCGGAGCTCCCAAGGATCCCCGAGGTATTCTTCAGGATTCCCCCCAGGATTCCAAAGAAACACTTGAGGATTTCCCGTTGCTCTTTTCAACAACGGTACGTCGAGTTCTTCGAGCCTCTCGTTCGTGCTGCATGTGCAATGGCCCGCGGATTACAACTGCATGCAAAGTTTCAGAGCCGCAGTGGCTGTCGGTCTCATCTTCTACGTCACGCTGTTGCCGCGGCTGGGCCGACGCTTTCCACCGAGGAGCAGAATAATATTATGAGGGGAATTCCCTGTCTGGGCGTGCCAAGCATCGCGTGCCTCTTCTGCCTGCTGATGCTATTATGCCACCTCCTCGCGAGGCGATGCGTCCCAACGCCGCTGCCGATGCTTCGCAGCCTGTGGCGCGAACCCATTTTGTTCTCCATGAGATCATTCCCCATCGTCCCCTGCTGTCATTCCACGAACACCCTTCTCATCGCAGTAGGCTCTCGGCGGACGTCGCGGTCATGTGTGAGTCTGTGCAGGCGATGGTCAAGTCTGTGGGCGTGCTGGAGCAGTTTGCGCCACACTGCCACGCGCCGATGGCGCCGTCGCATTTGCCCTCTTCCGCGCGGTGCCGCGACGGCGCCGACCTTGCAAAGGTGGCGGCGTTCATTGCTCAACTGCGCGGTCAGTTGTTGTCTGTTGACGTGAACGATGATTCAGCTGACGGGGGCGATCTCGACCCCGACCATCTGCTGCAACCTGCTTAGCGGCGTGGGCGCGCGCCCCGCTGCCAGCGGCTAGGCGACCGTCTGGGAGAGCACGCGCCGCCCGAGTCGATCGCCCTCCCCCCCCCCCCCCCCCCCCCCCCTCCCCGCGCCCCCAAAAAAGACCCCCCCCCCTCGGCCGCCAACATCAGAGGTGGGCGTGGAACCAGCTTTCCAACGGCCCATCCGCGGGCCGAGGATCGAGGCGGAAGGGGGTCGAGTGGGGGTAGGAGGAACCTGGATGTCCTGCGTTTCCATTGCGAGCATTCGCATTCGCGTTTTAGTGTGTCGCTCTGCTCCCCCGCCCGCCCGTCTGCGCTGCGCGCGGCTCTGCGCCCCCGTCGCGCCGCCTCAACGCAGCGCGGGGCGCTTGTCTTCGGCGGGGGGGCGGGGGGGCCCGGGAGACGCTTGAGCGACGCCTGAAACCAGTCTGCTATCAGCGCTCGGGCTGGAAAATTATTCGCACTCTGCTAATTTCTTGGAGATGCTATTGGTTTTCTTGACTTAACTCGCGCTTCAGATGAGCTACAGAGCTGTCCAGCGCAGCAATCGACGTGAGACGCGGGTTCGCGCGCGCCGACATTGGCGCGCGAGTTGCCCGCGCAAGGTTGCGCGCCGGCGCCCTCGCTTCATACGCGGCGCGCCCCGCGGGCGGCCCGCGGAGGCCGCCGCGCGAGGCCCCTGCGCCGCCTCGCGCGAGGCCCGTTTCTGATCGCCGCCCATCTGGAGATATCCGTGGACCTCTGCCTTCGCTGCCCCGCCGCTCGCGCGCCTCTGTCTGCCCGCCGGCCCGAGGCTTCTCCGACCCCGCGCCTGGTCGTCGCCGGGCTGCCGCGGGAAGCTGGCCGCGCCCGACGGGGCGAGCCCGGGCGAGAGCCGGGCGCGCGCGCGGCCGCAGTTGGCCCTTCGATGGCTACGTCGGCCAGGCATCAGCGCGCGTCTCAGGCGAGCGGCCTCCCGGGCGCCCCTCGGCGGCGAGCGAGGGGGGGGCAGGGGAGAGTGGGGCCTTCTCAGAAGGCGGAGGGATTTTTCAGGAACCCTCGTGCCTTACGAGAGGTTCTTTGCGCCTTCAGGGAAGGCGTGCAAAACTTCTCCAGAGGCCAGGGGGCTCCCGAACCTTCTGAGAAGGCCCATCTCGCTCCCGCCCCTCGCTCGCCGTCGATGCCTGGGCTCTCCGCGCGCGCGCGCGGGCGCGGCCTGTTCGACGCCGGCG